CCAGGGACTCCAGGATCATGACCTGAGCCGAAGGCAGTTGCTTAACCAACTGAGCCACCCAGGTGCCCTCCATTTTATTTTTTTAAAGTAACTTCTAGGGGCGCCTGGATGGCTCAGTTGGTTGGGCGTCTGCCTTCGGCTCAGGTCATGATCCCAGGGTCCTGGGATTGAGCTTGGCATCAGACTCCCTGCTCAGCGGAGAGCCTGCTTCTCCCTCTCCCTCTGCCTACCACTAGCCTTGCTTGTTCTCTCTCAAATAAATAGATAAATAAAATATTAAAAAAAAAAATAAAGTAACCTCTACACCCAATGTAGGGCTCAAACTCACGACCACCAAATCAAGAGTCCCACGCTCTACCAGCTGAGCCAGCCAGGTGCCCAGTTTCTTAACCAATACACAACCCCCCAAAAAACAGTAACCATAGAACAATTAATAAAATAAACATCTTCCTAGAGAGCTCACACTGATTCCTAGCTCTTAACTGCAGGCTCACAAGACACCTGATTCATAACCTAGTATAGAGTTTTATTTGGGGTCCTGCGAACACAGCAGTATCATCTGCCTCCTATTCTGTATCTTGCACTCTCTATGACATCATACCATCCCCAGTGTCCAGATTGTTTTTTTAATCAATTGCAGACAGAGTAAAGCTAATCTGGTCCATATGCTTCAGATATTTATGATCTTAAACATACATTGCTTTATATTACAAGCCAGCAGGGGCCTGAACTAGGAGAGGGCAGTAATATTTCATAAAGAACTTGAGGCTGGTTCATCTGCTTAGAGTGGCACATGTTGTGAACTGAATTGTGTCTCCCAAAAGGGATTATGTTGAAGTCCTGACCCCCAGGATCTGTGAATGCAACTTATTTGGAAGTAGGGTTTTTGAAAATGAAGTCAAGATAAGATCATTAGGGTGGATCCTAATCCAATATGACTGTGTCCTTTTTTTTTTTTTTTTTAGATTTTATTTATTTGAGAGAGCACAAGCAGGGAGAGCAGCAGAGGGAGAGGGAGAAGCAGACTCCCCACTGAGCAGGGTATGTGGTAACATAGACATAGACAGAGAAGGGAGGGAGAAAGAGACAGGGCGGGCCAGAGAAACGGGGAGGGGTGGGGGAGGAGGAGAAAGAAAAACGAGTATATTCTCCAGTCTACTCAGTGCAACCTTCTGGAGATTATGTCTATAAGACAAATTGATAGGGGCACCTGGGTGGCTCAGTTAAATGTCTGCTTTGGGCTCAGGTCATGATCCCGGGGTCCTGGGATCGAGCCCCACATCAGGATCCCTGCTCAGTGGGGAGTCTGCTTCTCCCTCTCCCTCTATGCTCTCTCTCTCTCAAGTAAATAAATACAATCTTAAAAAAAAAAAAAAAGAAAATTGATAATTTTGGTCATTTGTTTAATGTATTCGTGGTCTTTCTCATGTGGCTACTGAGCTCATGGGATGGCAACATGGTACTCCCCGTCTTCCTGTGTCCCCCTTTGGTCCAGCCTTTGGGGGCGGTGCAGCCCTCTCCCTGGGGGACAGGAGGGAGCAACTGGGATGTGTGGAGAAGGGTTGGGTGACAGGTGGTGGGGAGTGTAGGGCCCAAGTCCTTCTCTCCATTGCTGGGTTCAAACATGCACACTCTACCCAAGCCTGTGCCTGTCTTTCAAATCTCCACCTACCAGAGAATTCCTTAGCCGCCACCCCTCGGCCCGACTCCCTCTGGAGCTGCCCTCCCCTGGACACAGGAGACACGGGGACAGAGGGTCACAAGCTCAGAGTTGGGCCAAGATGAGACAGACAGAAGCACCACCACACCCCTTCCTGATCTTTCCAGGGCTGATGGCGCCCCTTTAGCCCCAATTTTCAGCCTGACCGAAAGGTGCCTGCAGGCCCCAACCGCCACCCGCGTCCAGCCCCAAAATCTGGGGCAGCCACACCACTACCTTTTGTTCCAGCAGCCCTGACCTCACAAGGTTCCTCAGGCTGTTCCTCTGACTGCCCTACACAATTCCCACGGCTTCTGGTACTTTCTAGGAGTCATGGCCCCTCTGCCGTGAAAATCCTTATCACCCTGCGCTGGTACTCTCTCTGTGCAAATGTCTGAGCTTCACCAGAGCAGAGACTGAGGCTCTGTTTTTTCAACTCCGAGGGCACAGGCTATGGACTCATGAATCTGATTTAAAGCGTCCGTCCGACACCTCCCTGACTGGTCAGAAGACTCCAAAGACTGCCTTTGCCTCCTGGTGGAGATCTCTCCCTCCCTTACCTGTTCTCTCATGACTCTCTAATGCCCATGGAGGAACTACAATCGTGGATTCGCAGCTCATAAGGGTGATTATTTGTCAGCATGTCTCCCATGTCAGGTCCAGCTCATGGGAAGTCTCAGTGAACATCACATCCTCACTGGGCTGTAGGGCTCAGTGAACACCTCATCCTCACTGGACCCATGAGCAAACGGACAGCCCCAAACGAGGGGCAGTCACTGGCTCTGGGTATTGTCGCACGTCACTGATCTGCTGTCCTTTTCCACCTGTAGTGGATACTGTGGATGGCCCACCCAGGTCCCCTCAGATAGATCTAGATCCCTCTTCCCGGCTCTCTGCACTCAGGCCCCCCCACTCTCCATCTTCTGTGTGCTCTCCGCGTTCATTATGGCTTTTTATTTCCCATCTTTCTGGTGCTTTGACATCTGGAGGGACTGCCCCTCCCTCCCAGGGCTAGCAAATTCCCAGAGATAATAAAGGACTCACCCAGGAGCATGCTTTGCATATGCAAACCAACCAATCCAGAGCCCAGACCCCCAACCATTTCCTTTATGAGCTTGTATACTCCTCTGGGCCATGATTCCTCGGCCTTATCACCGCAGGACCTCGTTCCAGACAACTAGGGATGGTCCCTACACCCCAGAGCCAGGTGAAATCATTCATACTAGACAATCTTAAGCCAGCTTACCCTGCCTCCCCTGTTCCCTCACTGAGAAACCACAACAAAGACTTTTGCTCAGGGCTCCCCTCTCCCCCCCTGCCTCCTGACTACCTTGGCACTTCCCCAGGTGGCCGTGCATGGCTTGGCACACCCCCTTCTTTGGGGATCTGTGAGAATAACAAACTATCTTTTTTGTTTTTTTTGTTTTTAAGTAGGCTCCACGTCCAGTGTGGAGCCCAGTGTGGAGCTTGAACTCACGACCCTGAGATTGAGACCTGAGCTGAGATCAAGAGTCAGCCACCAAACCGACTGAGCCACCCAGGCGCCCCAGTAAAGGATCTTTTCAGTTGCGGTCATTCTGATATATCGGCTTCCCCACACCTGAATAATAATAAAACCTATATTTTACAAGATTTTGCTGCTTATGGGCTTCCTCTGTGACCTTCTTCCCAGGACTGCCCTGGGGCTCAAGGTGCCCGCAGTCTATGTCCCGCCCTCTCTTCATGACTGACAAGAGGGGTGTAGCGGAGTCTCCATATATGGTCCCCAATGACCATGCCTCCAAGATTCCTACATCTTTGTAGCCCCCTCCCATCTTCTGCCAGCCCGACTTGCATTAACCAATGGAGCATAGTGCAAGTGACACTGGGCCAGTTCCAAGCTTGGTCTTTATGAGACTGGCAACTTCTGCTTCCTGCTGCAGTAATGCTCGCTTTGGGGGACCCTGAGCTACTGTGTAGGGAATCCGGTTACCCTGCCGGAGAGACCACAGCCCGGCTGGCTCCAACATACTAGCCATTCCTGCCAAGGCGCCAGACATGTCTGAGCCATCTTGGATGGTCCAGCCCACTTGGACCCTACGATGACTGCAGCCCTAGTCATATGATGCCAAAGAATTGCCTTGCTGAGCCAGTCAACCCATGAAACTGGGAGTGATCATAAATAGTTATTATTTTAAGACTCTAAGTTTGGGGGTGGCTTGATATTCAGTAATAAGAAACCCAAATAGGGATCTCCCTCTACCTCAAAAGCCTAGCTCCCCCCCCCCAAAAAAAGCCTAGCTCCTTTTGCCTCAGGGTAAGAAAGACCCTGCAACTTAATTTATCCTCCAGAGCTCCCCATGGGATCACGCAGAGGTTGGGACTTCACCTGAAGCCATACTCTTGATAGTCTTCTTCCCCTTCACTGTTTGGTTTCCTCCGCTCCTTTTTGGTTTCTCCTCGGAGCATTTCTTTAATAAATCATGGTCACACGAATCTTGTCTCGGGCTCTGCTTCCAAGAGAATCTGACCTCAGACATGACGCTTCTGATACTCTCACTTCCAACCGGAAGCCAAGGGTCTGGCTCCCTATTCTCCCTCCTGACTCTTCCCTGCCCCCTCTCCTGTACCCAAAAAAACACAGACCACCTTCCAGACTCCCATCTAGTTGGTGGCATGGGAGGGGATAAGGTGGGAACAAAGACATCCATGAGGTCTCTGAAGGAAGCAGCAAGCAGCTTGTTTGCCCCTGGCCCGCAGCAAATGACACCTCCCCGCCCCCAACCACACAACCATGGAGGGGATCATATGGAGGTCAGGCAGGCGAGAGTCAGGCGGTTGGCATGTCAGCAGCAGTTCGGGGCCTGGTGGGGATGAGAGTCCTCTCTGATTCTGTGTCTGTGGTGGGAGGGGCTCTGCCGGTTGTCCCACCCCCTCCTTTGGGAGTCTGTCTCGGTGACCTTCCCATGCCCACCAGTTCTCCGTCCCTGGAAACCCCAGCATCCATCACCATGGATCCTCCAGCAGGTCCCACAGCCGGGTTCCACTGGAGTCAGATAAGTCAGCAGAGAAGATGCTGGGGGCTGGGGGACCACAGCCTAGCAGGGGACCTCCACTCAGAGCCTCCAACCAGTCCAAGGAGTCTGTGGGGCCCCTGGGAGAGGGGGACGGGGAGTTTGTGGGGGACGGGAGCGAGGAAGAGAAGACAGAGGAGAGGCCTTCAGAGTCCGGGGAGGGGGACAGCACGTCGAAGGAGCCGGGGAAGTCCAGGGGGATGGGGGGCAGCGGGTCTGCAGGAGAAGGAATGAAGTGTGAGCTTAGGAAGGCAGAGATCCGGACCCACTCCGTTATTCCTCGTTTCCAGAAATCCAAGTCCCCAGCCCACCCCTCCCTAGAACCCAGGACTCCAGATCCCAAACCCTTCCTCCTTTGGACTAGGACTCCAGAACCTCAGTCTCCAACTCCCCCAAATCTAGGAGTTGGACTCTTACCCTCAGGCTCCACCTGATCCTCCAGGATGTCATCAATGCCCCGGTTCGGAAGCAACTGCGGACGGGCAGAAGCGGCGTGAACCTGGGATCCCGCACCATCCTGACCGAGACCCCTAGCCCGCTCCCTCTCACCTGTGCCCTGCGGATGGCTTCCTGCAGCTCCTCCTCCACAGTCAGGGCCGCTGTGGGCAGTGCTGAGGAAGGAGTCGGTGCTGGAGCCGCAGCCGGAGCCGGAGCCGGGGCCGGGACCGCAGCAGTAGCAGGGGTGTCCGAGGCACTTGCAGGAGGCGGAGGGTGAGAGTTTGGGCTCGGCTTGAGCTAGAACCGTGGAGTTCCCATAAGCCACGCCCGCCGGGAGCAACCCCACCCACTCGCAACCTGTGGCTCCACCCCCTGGTCGCCTCCCGGCCCTCCGCTCGCTCGTCGACCACCCCCCTTCGGTATCGCCCCGTATTCTTTCATTGGCTTCTCTTCCCTTAAGAGCCTCCCACTTTGCTCTTAACCACGCCCCCACACTTCATTGGCTATTCTTTCGACTTCCCGCCCCGTCCCGCTTTGTCTTCTCCTCACTGGTCCATACGCGCGTAGCCCCGCCCTCACCGAGCCCTGCCGCCGGACGGCTCCCAGAGCTTTGGGCCTGAGGCGCGGCCAGGGAGCGCCCGCGGGACAGTCCTCGCGCCGCGGCTTCGGCCGCTCGCGGGGCAGGGCGCCGCCGCGCATGCGCTCCAGGAGCATCGACTTAGTCCCCGACACCGGGAGGCCCCGCAGGCGCAGCTGCTGCCGGAGCTCTGAGACCTGGGGTGGGAGGCGAGGAGAGGCCTTGCTGGGAGGGCTCCGGGGCGCAGGCGGGAGCTGGGGCTGGACATTTGGAAACCGCGAGAAGAGGGACTGGGGACCCAGGCTCTTGGGTCTCCGATGGGGCAGAGGCAGCGGGGTTAGAACTATGGGTACCCACCGAGGGAGAGGGCCAGCCTGGGAAGTTACTCCTCACACTCACCGTCAGCTCCTCCAGCTTAAGGGTCTGAAGTTCCAACTTGTGTGGAGGGGGCGAGGGGCTGGGGACTCCAGGTGGGGAGGGAGTGAGGGCAGTGGGCTTCATCCTGGCGGTAAGGCGTGAGGGGGAACCAGAGGTTAGAGGGGGTGGAGAGAGACGGGGCATTCCGGGGTCCTCAAAGGCAGGGGCTTGCGAAGAGGAAAGAGGGCCCAGACTTCTGGGTCTCGGAAGAGGCTAATTCCTGTGCGTGGGAGTGGAGGAACCGGAGGCCCAGTCTCTCGGGTCTGAAGCCAGGACTCCTGGGAACTGAAGGAAGAGGGACTGGGAACTTGGACTCTGGAGTCCTGGGGGAGGAAGGGGTTGGGGGCTGGACTCTGTACTCCCCTGCTCTTGGACTCTGGGTTTGAGGGAGGAGGATGTGCGGGCGAGGGCGGGGGCTGAATTTCCCCCCAGAGAACAAAAACAGGGATCATACCTGGGAGGTGGCTGCTGTGAGTTTGTCCCTTCCCACAGAGGTGGTCCAGGGGGACCCAAGGCCAACCCTTTGGCCTGGGAGTCTACCCTGGACCCTTGTCTCCGCCCTGGGGGCATGTACTGGTGGTAGGTCAAGTTCCCCTTTGGCTTGGGCTCTCTCCAATGTTGGGAGATCTTGGGAGACTCCTGGAAAAGCAGGTGTGATGTCATATGTTTCGGCTCTGTCCCCGTTGTCCTGCCCCAGAGCCTCAGCTTGGCACCACCAGAAAGGAGCCAAAAGGGCAGTAGCAAGGACGACCAATGCTAGACTCTCCGGGGTATTTCTCCTCACTCGATGGAGACTCACCTTCAGGGACCTCCAAGGGCAGTATTCTGATTCATGGAGCAGGTCCCCAGGGTTGAGGAGGAAAGGGGTGGGGCCCAAGGGCGAGACTGGGGCCGGAGCCCTGGGGGCCAGAGCAGGGTCTGTGGCTGAGACCCACGGATCTGGATCCAAGACTGGAGAGGCAGTGAAGGACCCTGAGAGGCCTGTAGACAGCAAGCCAGGCAGGGAGGAACAAGACTGTGTGGGAAGGAGGGCCCTGGAGGCCTCAGCCGCCCCCCCCCACCTCCCTGTGTGGGAGGGCAGGACCAGGGAGGGAAACCCCAGTGTTAGGAGGTGGGTGCCCAGACTCCTGGATCTCAGGGCAGAGGTTCCAGAATTTTATATTCTCAAGAAAGTCAGGAATCACGCCCTCAGTCACCAAGATTTAGGGGGTTTTGCTGGAACAGGGGTGGGGCCAGCACTCCTGGTTCTTAAGGAGAGAGAGAAGCTGAAAGCCACATCCTGAGATTCGTGTGCATGCCAAGTGAGGAGTCTGGGATGCCTGTCTTCTCCGAAGAAATGGGATCTGGATTCATGCATTTTTTTTGGAGTGGGAAAAGTCATAGGGCAGGAAGCAGAGCTTTGAGGGGTGGGATAGCCAGGGACCTGTACTCGGGTCCTCAGGACGGGACAGGATAGGACTTCAGGGTGTCCCAGGCAGAGGGGCCAAGGCTCAGGAACCAGTGCCTGAGATCTGGTAGCTGCACGCCTGGGCATCCCAGGGTTGTCGGGCCTCCATCCCCTCCCTTTCAGGGCCCACACTTACTTGGGTCCTGATACCGTCTGTGGATCCGAAGCTGGAGGACTATGGAGGAAGGAGGGAGGTGGGAGGAGAAAGGCGGGAAGGGAGTGTCCAGGAGCCCGGCCTGGCAGGCGGTGCGAGCTGCAGTTGGCAGGACATGCGTGCCCAGCCCCCTTGCACACCCCATGCAGGCGGGTGGGCCGGCAGCCTGTTCCCTTTCCCGGGCCTCCCGCCTGCTCCCTGCTCCCTGCCAGAGCTGTTCTGGGACTAGGAGCCAGCCAGTGTGCAGGCAGGAGGCAGCCCTGCCCCCAGCTCCACCTGCCCCCTTCATGAGCATGTGCCTACCCCACCCAAGGCATGATCGCCATCTTGGCAGACTGACCCATGTGTGCCTCACCTCTTCTCGTCCGTGCGCTCCCGTCTGCACCAGCCTGCTCCCTTCGGTGTACCCCCAGGCCTCCCCACACTCACCCCCTCTGCACATGCATTTCCCTGGTCTCTGGTCTGGCACCTGCGCCACTTTTGTGCGCTCGTACCCTTTGATATGCTTCATCCTTGGCACCCACCCAGCCTTACTGACACTTCTTTGCACATTCAGGATTTGGCTTCCAGTTCTGGAGCAGAGATCTCTCTTTGCACATTTCATGTGCACTCTCCGGCACACTCATTGCTCTTTGGGGACTGGTGTCTTTGCACCCATCTAGCATACTCATTTGCACACTCGTATGCCCTTGGCCCACTGAGGAACTGACATCCAGTGCCACACTCACTTGCACGCTTTCGGTCCGCATTGGGACCTAAAATACAACCTTTGACACGTTCAAGTTTTGATACAGCGCACTGTCCCCTCACCAACACTCCCACACCGCCCACTTCTAAGTCCCCACTCTGTGCACTCCTCCACTTTGCACACATGTCGATTTAAGCCCCTGTTCCTTTGCAGTACCTGACCCTCTGCACACCCACCCCTCGCCACCCACTCCTCACTGTTTACAGGAGCATTGCATTGGCCATTTGCACCCTCATTGAGCCCCCCAAAATTCAAGCCCTTTGCTGGGGCCTCCTTTATACACAAGTGACCTTTTGCACAGAAAACACCTGCCTTGTGGGTCCCATGGCCCCCCTCCCATCTCACCGACCACACACACTGCCTGAGTTAAGAGTATTTCAATCCCAGGACCCAGAAGACCCCTTCCCTACATGCATAGAGAGAAGCCTCTCACCAGATCTGAACTTGGAGCGAATGATTTGGGAGCGCTGAGAGGAAGTTGCGAGAGTCATTGCCAAGGCTGTGATGGGGACCTGGACTGAGGGGAGGACAGGGCCCCCACCGGAGGAGGGTCAGAGTGGAGGTCAGGAGGCTGTCCCTCCCTGTGAAGGCAGCAGGGAAAGGGCCTCAGGGGCTTAGGGATAGGAGAGGCCTTGAGCCAGAACTTCTGGAGCCTGGGGGAGGAGGGGCTGGGAGCTCGGACTCCTGGATTTGAGGAAGAAGGGGGTTGAGGGCCCCAATTCCTGGAGCCTGGGGGAGGAAAGACTGCGATCTATGAAAGGAGACCCCTGGGCCTGTGAAAAGAGAGGAAGGAAAAGAGGGTGAAGGGATAGAGCTCAGTACTCTAAAGGGACTAGAATCCAACACCCTTGATCAAGAGGGGAAAGGGACCCGGTAGGTTCCTGGGGAATTGGGAAGGGTCTCTGCCACCTGCATTTGAGAGGGGGGTGGGTGGGTGTCAGCCACCATGGTCTGTGAGGAAGGGACTGGGACCAGAGAGGTGACAGAAGAGTTAAGGTGGGTTCCCCCCACCCCCATCCCAGGGGCTTCTCACCAGGTGGGCTCGGCGCAGCAGTACTCTGGAGCGGGTTGAATCCCCTGGTCTAGGCTGGAGGCCGCAGGCTCCGCCCCACCAGCCTGCGACCGCCTAGGACACCCCTTTCTAGGGCGTGCCAGGAGCCTGTGGAATGGGGCGGGGGGGGGAGGGGGGAGACAGGAGCCCCGCCTGGGACCCTAAGAAGGGGCGGGAGCACGGGCTGGGAGTGACTGGGGCGGGGCGAACGTCGGGGTTCCCTGGGTCGCTCCTCCTCCGCGTCCTGGGGCTGCGGGGTCGGGCGGGGCAGCGGCGGGCGGACTGACAGAAGCAGGTGCCTGGAGAGGGGCGCCGGGTGAGCGGCGGGAGCAGGTGGTCGCGACCCGGCCCTGCGGGCAGGTGCCACCTGTCGCTTATTTTTTCCCTGACGCAGCAGCAGGAGTCGGATTTAGGGGAGTGGAGAAGTTCAAACTGGAGCCCCGAACTCCGGGATCCGAGGGAGGAGGGGGCTGAGGACCTGGACTCCCGGGTCTGAGGGAGAAGAGGGCTGGACTCTGGCCTTTGTGGTCGAAGGGAGAGAAGTCTGGTTCCCACCGGCAGGACTGAGGGCCTGATATTTGGCAGAGCAAGCTTAGAGCTCTGTCCTGAAATTCGTGGGAGGCCCCAGGGCTCCGGGTTTGGATTACAAGCCGCAGGGCAAGCTGAGGCCAAGGCTATAAATATCTCCTCGGACTTGGCAAGAACCCAACGCTCTAGTCGAGGACCCTGGTGCTCTAATCCGCAAATCATCATCATCACCAGCGTTCCCGAGTCTTAACAAGTGAGGCGTTGCCAATACCACAGATACCTTTATTGCTCCTTGCGCTCACATCCCAAGCCCATCTTCCCACTGTCCCATCCTCTACTACCCGAAAACTCAAACTCCCGGCAGCCCACGCGGGGAAAGAACTACAACTCCCAGAGAGCTCTGAGCTCGAGCGGGCTCCCGGGAGTAGAAGCCGAAGAATTTTCAAGGTTCGCGCGCTCGTTTGTTATTGGTTTTCAAGGAGGCGTGGCCACGGGAGGTCCGTGGCGGTGATTGGCCGGCAGTTCCTGCTGCTCAAGATCCCAGAGGAGGCGGCGGAGCCTGCGCAGTTCACGGTGCAGGGCGTCGTCTGTCACAGGACCTGTGAGGCGCAGGCGCGAGCTGCCCAAGGGCAGGATGAGGGGAGGATGGGAAGAGAAGCTTTCGAAGATGTCCCCTAGGAGACCGAAGAAGACGGAGTCAAACTCTGAAAATGGGCGTGGGGCAGCAGTGTTGGGGAGAGGCTGTGTCACGCCCGAAGGAGGGAAAAACTTCAACCCCCAGCAAATCCTGGAGCAGGAGTCACTCAAACATGACTCGCGGGAGTCCCCAAGCATCGTGGAGTTGTAGTTTCAGACAAAGAAAGGCCACCGTTGCCTGGGAAACGGGCCAGGCATTGGGCTCTCGGGTCCGTGAGGAAGGAAGGTCTGGGAACTTAGTTTTACGGATTCCTTAGAGTGGAGGGGGCTGGAACCCGAACTCCTGGGTGAGGAGGGTTGGTTGTCCGGGGAAGAGGCTGGGGGCCTGAACCCTGGGGAAGAAAGGAGCTGGGGCGTGAACTCCTGTACCCTGGGGGAGGGGGGAGTTGGGGTCCATCACTTAAGTCTTGAGGGAGGAGAGGGTTAAGGGTCCAGAATCCCGGGTCAGAAGGAGGAAGGCGCTGGGACTGTGGAATCCTGGGTACTGAGAACCAAAAAAAAAAAAAAAAAGCTGACAGCCCCAGTGCCTCTGTCCCCATCTCTCCTCACCTGTGTCCACAGCATCTCGCTCTGCAGTGGGGGGATCCCAGGCAGGTGGTGGCCCACGGCCAGGACCCAGCTGGTAGTGGCTGAGCAGATGGTGGAGCTGAGCAGGGGTCAATGTGGGGTGGTCAGTTCGTAGGCTGCTCCATGAAGCCTGGTGGGAAGATCAGGTGAGAAATCTATGGTCATTATGGGGCAGCTGAGAAATCCTAAAACGGAAGGCCCTCCATAAAGGGCATGGATGTAGTGGGTAGACAGTGGTGTCTGTGCAATATCTTCCGGACACTGTGAGGCCAGGCTGTCAACCAAAGAGATGGTGGGAAAGGGCGCTTTAAAAAAATGTTAATTGGGGGCGCCTGGGTGGCTCAGGTCTGCCGTCGGCTTAGGTCATGATCCCAGGGTCCTGGGATTGAGCCCCGCATTGGGCTCCCTGCTCAGCGGGGAGTCTGCTTCTCCCTCTTCTCCCTCTCCCACCCCCCCTGCTTGTGTTCCCTCTCGCTGTCTCTCTCTCTAATAAATAAATAAAATCTTTTTTAAAATGTGATTTGCGGGGCGCCTGGGTGTCTCAGTCGTTAAGCGTCTGCCTTCGGCTCAGGTCATGATCCCAGGGTCCTGGGATCGAGCCCTGCATCGGGCTCCCTGCTCTGCGGGAAGCCTTGCTTCTCTCTCTCCCACTCCCCCTGCTTGTGTTCCCTCTCTCGCTGTGTCTCTCTCTGTCAAATAAATAAATAAAATCTTAAAAATAAAATAAAATAAAATGTGATTTGCTTCAGCATAAATGAGGATGTAGGAGTTGGTGGGGGGGTGGGAAAGAAACAAAACTGGCCATTAGTTTATTATTGAAGCTGATGATGTGTACCTGGAGCTTCATTACTGCACTGTGGCTATTTTTTGTATCTGAAAATTTCTACACCTGAGATGACATCTGAATCATCCGTGGGGTGAAAACCAGAGACTCGACCCAGAATGCCTGGGTTCAAAAATCCCAGCTTGACTACTCATTACTTTCTGGCAAGTCACTGTGCCTCACTTTTTTTTTTTTTTTTAAGATTTTGTTTATTTATTTGACAGAGAGAGACACAGCGAGAGAGGGAACACAAGTAGGGGGAGCAGGAGAGGGAGAAGCAGGCTTCCCGCCGAGCAGGGAGCCTGATGCGGGGCTCAATCCCAGCACCCTGGGATCATGACCTGAGCCGAAGGCAGACGCTTAATGACTGAGCCACCCAGGCGCCCCTCACTTTTTTTGTTTTTAAGATTTTATTTATTTATTTGACAGAGAGACAGCTAGAGAGGGAACCCAGGCAGAGGGAGAGGGAGAAGCAGGCTTCCCGCTGAATAGGCAGCCTGATGTGGGGCTCAATCCCAGGACTCCAGGATCATGACCTGAGCTGAAGTCAGACACTTAACAACTGAGCCACCCAGGTGCCCCTGTGCCTCACTTTCTTCATCTGTCAATTGGGTGTGGGCGGGAATAGAACTAACAGGGTAGTTATGAGGATTCAATATGGCTAGATTGTAAAGACTTAGGACACTGCCTGGTGCTTATTAAATGCTCTGTAAAAGTTTGATAAATATAAATAAATGAAATCAAGTAACTTATCCTACCTGATTTTCAGTCTCCTTGTCTGAAAAGAATTGTCAATTAATAACCTATTTCATGAGGCTTAGTCAACATTCAGTGAGAGTGCTAGACCGCATCTGGCATGTTGTTTATGTTCAATGCATGTTCTCACTATCACATTCCTTGGTCTCATAGCAGACTTTCTGAATCAGCATGTCTGAGGGTGGAGGCCTTGGAATCTATTATTAATAAGTCCCATGGGATTCAGATGCAGTTTGGACACTTGTGGCTGACTTCCTTCTAACTGTCGATGCATCATCCACAGTGTCAGAGCTGGGACCGGGGATAACATGAAGTCCAAGGGGAGATCCAAGGGTGAGCTGAATACAGAGGATGGCTGAGTGGGGTCGAGGAGTCAGAGGTCAGGGATCAGGAGTCACCTTGAGCAGGGAAGTGCGGGGCACGCAGAGCAGGTTCACAGCTATGGAGAGTTTCCGGAAGAATTCAGTGGCAATGTCACCCAGCCCGGCCCCCTGCAGCCAGTCCAAGACAAGGTCCAAGTTGGTTCGGATTTGGACAGCTCGGGACCATTGATAGAAAGGCCGGCCTTGACCTATTGGGGGAAAGGTATGAAGGGCAATGAGCACGTGGACTCGGCCCTCCTGCCTCCCAGACCCTTCCTATCCTTCAACTTGGGATCTGGAACTTGCTCTCCAGAGTCCCTAAACATGAGGCCTGATCCTGGGGCATGCTGTCTGAATTGACATGGGTCTCAGAGGTTCCCATGCTTTCCTCCCTGTCCCTTCCCCAGTCCAACCCTCACCTCGTTCCATCAGCGAGTTGAGAAGGGACGCATTGGAGAAGAAGAACAAATAACCGAAAGTCTGAGACACGAGGTCGGGATGCAGCTCACACTGGCTGGTCAGTTCCAGGGCTGCCTGGAACACGCCCAGCGTCGGTCTCAAGCCCGGAGGCATGGCCCCCAGCTCTGCTCCAGGCCCTGGCAGCTCTGCCCCAGCTGTGAAAGGGTTACTATCCAGGAGAGCAGGCAGCGTTGAATACAGAGTCTAAGAGGATACAGAGATGCAAACAAGTGATTGGACTACACCCCATGGAAGCTTCAGGGTGACAGAGCTTCTGGGAATTATAGTCCATTGTACCTGCAACACCCTAAAAGTTCTCTGTGAGCAAATCCCTACTTTCCAGATGGGTGTCTAGCATGCATCAGGCCGAGGACACCTCAAGTCTTAAGAAAGCCTCCAGGAGTTTCCTGGGTATTTTATGACCACCTCGGTGCCTCATAGGTCTTGTAGTTCTCAACAGAGACAGAGACAGCTCACAGAGGACAAAGGATACTGAACAAAGAGGCCCCCTTCAGTCAAAGAATTATTTATCCAGAGTTCCCGAAGGAAAGAAAAAAGAATGAAGAGTCAGGAAGTGGGAGTGGCGTGGCAGTGAGCCAGTGGAAAGTGAGATCAGGCCAAGGACAGGAAATGAGGTCAGAGCCGAAGAAGAAATAAAGCCACACTTGGCAGGGATGGACAGGAAGCGAAGCCTTGGAGGAATGGGCTTCACCAATCAAGGCTGCTTAAGGAACATAAAGAATCTCCCCAAAGATCCCCTTTGCTGTTACAGATAGGGACTCAGGCCCACGAGAAGCCTGAAAACCTGTGAATTCCAAGCAACCATCTTAAGGTCAAGGGTGGTGGGAGACTGGGGCAGAAAGCACTCCAGGGAGAAGATCTGTGGCTCGGAAAAGGGAGTGA